CTAACAGGGCAGTGCACTGTGAAACTGCACTAAACTCGACATTTAGTCTTCCTACGTCGATAGTTTCTCTTTTGTGTTTATTGCTACTGCCACACCGGCGGTTATTAGCTCTCCACATGCCACAACAACTAGTTTCCCAGGATAGTGTCGATGTACAAGTTGTTTAGCCGATTTATTTCAGATTTGATCGAAATTGTAAGGCTCCCGACATGGGTTCTTTGTCCATGCTTATAGGCCTGTTCTTTCCGCCTGCGTAGATGTTTTCGGTAGCGTGACGAATATCAATCTTTATGGATGAAGACCGGTTCGAGTGTGCAACACTGGTTAAAACAAAAATTAAGGTGATCTGTAACGGGTTCACAGAGGACAGAAGGGTTATGATCGGGAAACACCGAAAAATCTGTGGTGGGAATCAAGCTTTCTAGGTTCTTTGACTTACTATCTTGGACGGTCTCCTTAAAATCGTGCACCGGTTAGTTTTGCTGTATACAGTGAGACAAGATACAACGATCTGAACTGCTCAGAGGAGCACGTTTCTGAACTTTGGAAAATTGCGGTCTGTTTATAAAAACCAAATCTAGTTGTGAATTGAGGCTGTTAGGAAAATGAACCAAATTTTACAGACCCAGTGCTAAAATCACCAACAAATACACACGGGAGTCACTTGTTGTTGATAGGATGGATGTAGAAAAAATGTGAGAAAACCTATTTATGTCAGCCGCTGATCTTGTGGTTAACACTCGTGGGACGCTCAACCCGACACAAGTTATATCCATCCAGTTGTACAATTTCAGATTTCTTCGTGCAACCTCGATTCCTGTAGCATAATAATCAATAGGTTTTTGTACTCCTTTTTCCGTGTGACGTCTGCTATCTCCTCGACTTTTCCCGACAGAACACGAATATTGCTTGTTAAAATGAGAGGAATTTGCATTTGACTGGTACTGCGCTGTCTGAGACCGACTTGCCAACCTGCGAGGTGTTTTCTCAATCAACCACCTTGATTTGATAATCCGCTTGAAGTGATTTCTCACTGTAACTGGGAGAATAGAAATCTAGTTGGACAGCTATATATCCCAATTGACGGATAAAGACCGGATGTGGGTTTCGGGTTGCACAGAGAAGGCTGAGTCGGTATTTGTGGCGCTATCGCAACACTCATCTGTCTGTGAAGAACCGAGTGTCAGTTGCCATTTTGCGGTCAGTTCTCCTGTTACGGCACAGAGACTTGATCTTCACGAGAGAAGGATAAAGGCAGACAATCGGTAATAGAACATCGTTGTCTACTTCATAGCGCTACGTTTTTAATTTCAAGTGAAACTAAACAATGGCATTCCACTGGGAATCACAGATAATTGGTGTTTTGGCAGTCAAACGTCACCGATTGGATCGAGTCTGTCTGAACCCCGTTCAGTCCCAATGAATTAATTTCTCCGTAAACAAACACAATTACTTTTAGAGTGAGTTGCCGAGCGAGGATGAGTATCGTTGGGATGGTGTGGACTGGGGACGTTATATCCGTGATCGTTGATCGAATGTGCGCCATAGACGCGAATGAACGAATCCGGCGGTAATTGACCTCTGTCGGTCGGGTAAGGAAGCGAATCACGTAGCCATGACTGACTAATATTGGGCGTTTGACCCCCGTTTGTTTTATAAACTCGTGTAATGTGCTGCAGACATCGGGGTACCCTACCCTCGTTACGGCCAAATGTTTGCACTGTATAGCAGCACCGGTTGAACGAACGCGGGCAGAACACCTCACAGACAGCCGGATGTCGCACGGGTGAAAAAAAACATCTCACATTGGCAAACGCCAAGCGTACAACTGAAGGACTTAACACTGATCGTACTATTTGTAGGGGGAAATTCGACAGCTATAGAACCCGAAGAAGATATCACCGCTCACTTGAATAAGGCATGGTTTTTACACTGACTTGATCAACTAGCTTTCCTACAGATGTGCACATCCCAAATCGCAAAAGCTCCGGCTCCTCCGGGATGATTCGGCGACCTTGATCATCCGACAGAGTTCGGTCACGCACAGAGCATCGGAAGGACAATTCCCCTCTTGGGAGAGAATACTACTCTACTTAGAGCGCAGGCCCTGCCAAATGACAAAAAAACATGATAGCTTGGAAAATGTGCACGTGGTCTCTATTGATAACGATTCGTGTGAACAACAGAGCGGTTTTCTACTAACAAGGATCACCGTTTCAAAACACATTCGTCGTGAAACCGAATAAGTCATACACATCAAGCACTAGCACACCATTACCAACCAAACTGCACGAGTGTATCAATGAAAATCTAAAAATGCAACCCAAACATACTCAGGCATACTCGATCGATAGAAGTCGATGTGTCCACTGATGGACAGATGCTCAAACTATCGGAAAGGAACAGGGAGAAGAAGGATCATTAGAAAAACAATCACACACAGACATGGGCACGAAACAATAGTCCATACAGTGTAGGGCGCTGTGATTTGTGTGTGTGTGTGTGTGGCGGGACCGCGGGGAAGGACGAACTAGAATAAGTGAATTGAACTCTTTTCTCGAAAGAACTGGAACTTCTGATACGTGAACATCTTTGATAAGACACCGGTCGGAGAAAAGCAGCCGTGACGATGATGATCAGGAGGAGGAGGAGGACAATAACACCATCTGTCGTCACCGTTTTGANCGTTTTGAGGCCAATTCGATCACCATCACCGTGATATCATTTCGATAGAATCGCGCCAGACCAGGAGGAAGACTGAGCAACTTTAGCGCGCGATTGAATGCTTTTTGATCCGGTTGAACTGCACCGTGTCTATCGGGGAACGGCTGACTACGCTGTCTAGCGTCTTGGGCAATCACTCGAGCAATAGATGGGGGTACACTGGTCAAACAGTTCCATAAAAGTCGTATTGCCGGTGAACTGGGTTTGCGAAGCTCTTCTTGCATGATCAAAGCCACTTCGCCTGAGGAGAGGGCGTCCCAGAGACCGTCAGTACCTACAATAATGTAGCGATCGGCCGGTGTGATCTGGATGATTGGGAGCGGTAAACTGAAAAGTTAATCACGATATCACGCAAAGGTAAGTGTTTTAAATCTATGAACACATTTTGGAGAGTATGCAATTCCGAGTGACCTATCTTCTGAGTTATACGTAAAACAAAATGAAATCATCCGAACCGAGGATGCCCATGTCAGAATAGTATCAAACAATCCGCAGATCAGTTTATGATACGGAAGAATTACCGCGTAGAAGTAGCATATTCCATTTCGTGCGTTTCCGTCACCTAACCAAATCATCGTCGTCCTTATCATCATCATCATCATCATCGTCATCATCATCATCATCGTACAGCGAGATACAGTGAAGTGAACCTTACCGATCACTGGTAAACTCGCAATGCGTACAATGTAAGTGGTAAAATTTAAGATGGACAGGGATTGGACCTATTTTGTGAGGGTGGACGGGAAGGGGTGGAAGAAGGTGAACCTCCATGGTCAATACACAGAGAGTGCACAATCGAACTGTGCATACGTAACATTTGAAGCATTTGAGTCTGATAAGAAATGAAAACAAGAACGCCATCGTTTTCGGTTCGATGTCATATCCTTCAGTACATCCAACCAACCAGCTGCGGAGTCTGTCTGACCCCTATCTAGCCAAATCGCAAATGTGCGTCCAAGAAGCTTTGGCAGAAATCAGCTAGCACAAACCGGCAAACCGATCAACCGGCAGGCTAAACTGGGTTGTGCATGAGCAAAACCCCAGAACCCCGAGGAAATAAAGTATTGCATGCGACGACCAGTACTCCGCTGTGGGCTTTTGAAGCAAACTTCCTGGTATACAATAGACATTTCTTCAACTAGGAAAAATGCATGGATCCCCGGGGTTACGGGTCCCATCCCAATTTCGAGTGAATCCGTTGTAATTCCAAGTGAATCCAACCAATCGTATTCTACCAGGAACCCAACAAAGTGATTGGTTCTTTTGCAGTTATAACGTCAGCGGTTGAACTAGGTTTATTGAAACCCTGTCGCGTCGGAGTGAACTGATTTATCCATAGACAAACAAAAGTATTTTTTTAGTGAGTTACCGAGCGAGGATGGAAATCTCCGTGGGGTGGGGTTTAGCTGTTCGCTTCCCTCGCCCCAACTCGGGTACGTTATGCCCTTGACCGTTGTTTGTGTTGTAACATCAGCTCGGATCCGCTTTGAACAATGCTGTTAGCACAATATCATCAAAACAGATTACCCGGTGTGATTCCTTCAACTTAGGACTCAATATTTTAAAAACGGCCAGCAATCTTAACCTCGTTTACGAACGTAATACACAACCCGCTTACATTGTTCATCGCTGGCTGCTTCTAGACGTAATGTGGTCTGCCTGGTTCAACTCCAAGTACATTGTTGTGTTCATCTACTAACTGAGTTTGTCCGTATTTGCCACTCAATAGAATGTACTAGTTTTTACTTACTATACCATTTTAAGATTTATTTCAGAAACTATCACTTTGATTTGCGAAAGAAATACTGTGGTTGGATTTGCTTTCGTTCAGCGCAACTCATTGGTCAATTGATCACACGTTGTTTCTACCCGCGAATGGACCACCTATCTTCTCACGCCCTTTCTGTGCTGAAATGAAGCAGACCTCAGTGGTGCATCTTGTCGAACTCGCTGACGGACGTCGATTTGAAGGGTCAATGAAGCCGTGCGAGTTGCGTGAGACAACTAAGCTGGACCCGACTCGATAAGCATGAAGGGTGACGCACTGTTTCGTGCGTGTTACACTTAAAGTACAACTGGTCGTACAACTGCTCGGACATTGAAGATAGCTTAATAACCAAAGCTTACCACATTAACTACGACCAGGGAGGAGTTTTGTGCTCTGAGTGATGCACTTAGGTGGCCGTGGCCGATCAACGTAGTTGCTGTGACGATAACTCAATCGTCATTCTGTTTGACTGATCTTGATCTCCTTAGAGGAGCCTGGGATAATCATCGCTTAAATCCTTCTTGTCTTTGCTCATAATGAAGCTCCACATGTGTTCAATAGGGTTGAGCTTTTGCGACTATGGTGACGTCCTCATCAGCTTTGTCTCACAATACACACTCTCAGCGGTCTTATAATTCACACCATTGTGTCTTGCATCCACACGCCAGTCCTGTTCGTCTTCGAGAGACAGAACGATACACTGGTGCAATTCACTGTCAGCACAGTTCAACTGGCCTCGGGGCCTGACAAAAAGTAAGTGAACGTGGACGAATAGTTTCATGTCACACCTTTTTACGTGTCCCTTTACTGTTCGGATCGAAGCAATTACATCGATAACTGCTAACTCAGCAAACCACCACAGTAACTTATACATGGTACAGTAATTCTACACACAGACACACACCTAAATGTACGTTTCATTTTGTGCCCCGGTCCACCTGTTACCTTTTGGCAGTGGTCGCAGTGGTTGTGGCAAGCTTCGGCGATTGAGCTATCCTCGCAGCAACTACGTTGATCGGCCACGGCCACCTAAGTGCATCACTCAGAGCACAAAACTCCTCCCTGGTCGTAGTTAATGTGGTAAGCTTTGGTTATTGAGCTATCTTCAATGTCCGAGCAGTTGTACGACCAGTTGTACTTTAAGTGTAACACGCACGAAACAGTGCGTCACCCTTCATGCTTATCGAGTCGGGTCCAGCTTAGTTGTCTCACGCAACTCGCACGGCTTCATTGACCCTTCAAATCGACGTCCGTCAGCGAGTTCGACAAGATGCACCACTGAGGTCTGCTTCATTTCAGCACAGAAAGGGCGTGAGAAGATAGGTGGTCCATTCGCGGGTAGAAACAACGTGTGATCAATTGCGCTGAACGGAAGCGGATCCAACCATAGTGTTTCTTACTCAACTGAAATTGACGGTTTCTCAAACTAAAGTGATATTTTCTCAAATTACAATGTTATGGTCTAATGAGGGTTTAGACTGAACCCGCTCATGCAATGATTCATTCCAACAGTCACGCCTGAGCATGGTGACCGATTTATCGATCCATTTTGAAGGGGGTGATTAGCTTCTTTACTCGGACCATCGAGGCCAATTACCACCGGGTTTGTTCATTCTGATCTAAAGTTCACACGGTCAACGGTCAAGGACATAACGTACCCAGTTGGGGCGAGGGGGGCGAACAGTCGAAATCTCATTCTTGCTCAGTAACTCATTCAAAAATACTTTTCTTTGTCAATGGAGAACCCAGTTCACTCCGACGGGACGGGGTTTCGATAGATCCGGTGACGTGCGATGGCAGAAGAACCAATCACTTTGTTGGGTCCCTGGTAGAATACGATTGGTTGGATCCAGCTAGAGGTACAACGGATTCCCTTGACGTTGAAAAGATATAGAGAGTCATTGTTATTCATACTCCAACACACTATTTTGCAATCTGTGTTTGATGGAGGTGCACCTTCTAGAAAGCCCAGTGATGCTGGGTATATCTATAGATGGAACTCCCGTGAAATTTTTATGGTGGTTCATTTACTTCCAGAAATCACTTTACCACTCAAATTCCACTTCACATCAAAATAAATATGTACACGAAGGGATTAGTGTTTACCTACGTGTATGGGGGAGGCGATTTATCTGCATAACGCAACAGTTGGCGAGACATCCTCAAGCTGTCCTAGTTTAGTGCCACGGGTACGATCGATAGGGTGGTTTTGACAGCAGAAAATGCGCTGATTCCAAGACACAGAATTCAAGACAAATGTGACAAAGCATAGACGAAGTCACACGGGAACATACGAGTTTCGGCACAGACTTTCATTGATTTTACCAATCAACAGGCGCACGATTGTCCTTCTATCAAAACTGGTCCGTGGGATCAGACACGAACAAAAAATCCGGTTCCGTTTTCGGTTGTGTAGTAGATCAACACTGTCAACAAATATGAACTATGTCGCATTGCAGAACTAAGATAGTGAAACGATGTGAGATGCAACAGAGGAGAACGTGAAGACAGAGTAGGATCAATAGGAAGGGTAATAATCGTATGGCGGTGGTGGGCTAATGGTTTAACTGCTGTTACAGGCGTACTTCAGACCTTATGGTCCAAGGTTCGAGCCCCGCGACCGCCACTCAACCTTGGTGGTAGACAGCTTTGCTGTCGTCCGGTTCAACACCACGCCTCACCTAGCGGGACCGTATGTGGTTCGTCACTCCAAGTCCCAGGCCTTAGGTCACCGAAAAGCAGATCCTCGTGACCATCGGGTTTACTTCGTCTTCTGTTCATCACACAAAAAGTGTATAATAAAAAATAGCGGGATCTAGTTTACCTCGAAAGAAAATGCTGCACGGAACCAGAGGGAAACCACTTTGGAGGAACCGAGAAATGTCAGCAGACAGCAAGCCTATAGATAAATAGTCGGAGTGGTTCAGTTTCAGTTTGCACAATCGTTGACCATGCACTTTCGTGCGCCGGTTTTGGTTGCTCCCTTTTGGCTGCTGCCCATTTGAATGAAGCAGTAAGAGAAAGACAGGAAAAGGAGTCAAGGGGAAAATGGAGAACTTCAGTGGATAGAGGGTTGCACAGAAGGTGCATGAACCCCGCTATTTACGACACTCAATCAGATCACTCGTTGTATCCCCTAAACATCGATTACAATGGTTGTCCACATCTGCACCTCCCTTAGGGTTCATCCGACCGCATGGATTTGGAAATATTTTTGGCATTATGGGTGAATATGACTGATTCCGCTGCACACAGAAGGGCCCAGCTACCAGTTCACTCGTTCTAGCCGTCTATGAAGGATTCTCTTGTAATATTCTGAAGGTGAGCGTGGCACCACTGCTATCGCGTACTCTTGCATTGTATATTGCAGCACTTATATGTGAAAAGAACGAGATGTGCGCTTTGGAAAATAATCACCAAGTGGCAATCCATAGATTCATCCCAGGGCAGGAATAAGCTTATACGTCCTGATGATCCCGTTAGGACACACTTCCCAATGTTCTGCAATTGGTTGAGGCTTGCTGACTGAAAATGTTACGTGTCATTGTCATTGCGTAACAAAAGTGGCTTTTGCGAACCTCAATAGTCACACACACACGCGCGCGCGCGCACGCACGCACACACGCACTACTGATGGCAGAGATTATTGGGATTGCCTGTCCGTGGTAAAGGTGATTTTTGTAAAGTGAGAGGGCGAAACACCGATATGTATCTGGAGCAGCGAACTAGGGTAGGCTTCAGGACTTAAAAAACGAAGAGGCGTAAGAACAGGTTTTAATACACTCTCTCAGGTCGAAAGAGTGTATCGTCCATCTTGGCATTGAGCAAAGTGCCTCACTAAACGCGGCATTCGATCCTAATGAACTGTGCGTGTAGCACACTGTCTGCCTGTTTTGTGAGGCGGGCTTTGAGCAGTACGGTAACCGGGCGAAATAGCGTCCACGAGCAGATAACGTATTCGTTGCTTCTCCTGGATTCAGACAAGTGTGAAATATAATCCAAAAGTCCGTAATGAGATCCAAGCCTTGGGACGACATAAACTGCCGGGCTTCGATGGCCTTCCCCCAGCTCTATTTAAAGATGGTGCAACATAATGTGATGGAAATGGTTGTGATAATCAACAAAGAGTACTGAACAGTTTTTTGTCTCATGGGGAATTAACGATCTCCCAAGGAGTGAAAACCGCACCGAAGACCATCAAGAGTTCCTGGTGCCTCTGAACAATCCAATGGGCTAATCCAAGCTTGATACTCTAAAAATGGTGCAACATAGTTTAGATAACTACAAATTATGTTTTCTAAAGTCTGAAACACTGACCAGGTCCCATCCTCGTGGGGGGAATCGATTGTCGTCCCATCTTTCGTGAGGGCCCGCGCAG